TACAGACATCCTCAGTGTGGGTATTAAAAAACTGAATACCGTTTTTCCATTCGCCTCAAAATACATTTTTTTGTTTTGTTTTAAATGAGCTTTTGGCATATTTCAAAAATATTTTTCTTTTGTTTTTCTAATGGCAGGTAGTCTAATAAATGTGTTATGCACTGAAAATATCAGAAAAACTGTGGGGCCACTGACAGAATCTTTATGGCTAAAAACACTAAACAATAGGCTCATGTTCTTATTACTGATATAAAAAAATACTTGTGTATTTGTATGCACTAAAACAGGTACCGCTAATTATTTCTATGTTCACTCTAAAACTAATATCAGGCCATTCACATTAGTCACACCAGAAATGTTTCCAGGTTCAGGAAAATCTCGGGACTCTTTTCCAACAAAAACACGTGCAATTCTACTTTGTCTTGCTAATCTTGATAAATGTAAACAGATTTGCTTATGCTTATAAACAGATTCAAATATAGAATGGGATCCTTTCTGCTTTAAATGTCTTAATAATTAATATCGCTGAGGTAGCCTGCACAAAAATGATAAAAGTCATATTTCTAGACTTTTTAATTGTGGCTCAAAGTAACTTTTTTCATGAAATGCTGTCACACCGAGTCTGTGTGGCAAATCTGCTATCCTACGCTCAATTTTGCAGTGACGTGAATGCTTTCCTGCCATTTCAACAAAATGATTTAATAAGTCAGTGTTTTGTAAATCGGGACGATCACATGCTGTGTACCAAGTACATAATTGTGATGTTTTAATGAAAATAAAAACATTGATGTGGTGTTTTTCGCTTTTCTGTAATGTGTCCCTTGTTGCTACCTCAGGTTAAGATTACGTAAACCTTTTACCCAGCCAGTTATCTGAAAAACCCCACCAGCAACTTCCTTTAACCTACTAACTGTTGTCTTCAGCCATGTACCAACATGCCAGAGCTCCTCAGACACATGACTCACACTCCAAAGATAAAGAGAAACATCTCCAGGGCTCGAAGGTGAGGATTACCCAAAAAGGCCATGACCATGTGGGACCTCATTACCAAGACATGCTGCCGATGAAAATATAAATGGGCTACATGAAAGTGCGACCACTCAAGCGGTTTTGTTTGTATTAGAACTGTAAATGATTCATATTTTGTTAGGAAACCCTTTAACCCTTTAAGAGAGACACAAAAACAAGCTTTGAGAATCTCAGATGTGAGGCATTGACATGAAAGCCTTGTTTGGTTAAAGCACAAGACCTTTTATGAGTGTAGCTGAACTTTTTTTGATCTAAAGAGTTGCACAAGCTGACAGTGGAAAGTAAAAGAGAGGTTTAAATTCCAGATAGAAAGACACACTCAGTGAAAAAGACTATGTGTGCGACTCGTGCAAGGAAACAAACAGGGCAAATTAGGACTGGCTAAAAGATCGATCTCGTAAAATTCCTGAGATACGACTGCACTGGTCTTGTTTTATTGTTAATGCTGAGATAAGGACGGGGGAAACAGCACTGCAATCCGGTCAGATGGCATATTAGGGAAAGAACTATTTGAGCATCTCTTAAACTTTGATCTTTTGTTATAATGATCCAAATCTGCTGATGAAGTTACTTTGTGAAAAGCAATTTCCTCTAATATTCTGAGAACGGGCACAATCATTACTCAAAAGGAACGCAAAACAAACTTAGTAGTCTTAACGCAAACAAGTATTTAAAACTTTTTTCTTTTTCTTGTAAAATCTTCCACTTTTTTTTTCAATACTGGACTCAAACATAGACAAATTCACAACGATGGCTGATGGTCTGTAGTATACACTCACTGGCCACTTTGTAAGGTACCCCACAAATATCTATTTAGCCAATCACATGGCAGCAACATTTAAGCATGTGTACATGCTCATGACAACCTGCAGAAGTTCAAACTAAGCATAAGAATGAGGTAAAAAGGTGATTTAAGTGACTTTGAACATGGTTGTTGGTGTCAGATGGCCTTGTCCCAGTATTTCAGAAACTGCTGATCTGCAGGGATTTTCCCACGCAGTCATCTCCAGGGTTTGATCGTGCAGCCG